GCATGAATTTGAATAAATAAATGGGTTTTCTCTTGTAAAACACTTGTTCTTCATTTGCCTCCTTTGCCACTGCCCACATACGCGGTTTCCCTTAGGCTCATTTTGACGCGAGATAAACTGTATTCTCCCTTAAACTCAGCAACCTTACACATATACCTTTACAAAGGCATATTGTACTCTTATATCTTAACAATATATCTTTAATACTTTATAATCTTATGACACCAAATATACTATACATATATTTATAGTATATTTGGCATCGTAAGTGAAACTATAAAGTTTTATAACCATGAAAACTGCAAAACAAAAATTTTTCTCACTTTTCAAATCAAGAATCAAATGCTCGATCAGCGTAACCAATTATTCTTCCTCTAACATTGTCATAAACATGGTGTGGTACCTAAATGTGTCTCATTTAAATATATTTCCTTTCCCCTTTGTGTCTTTTTTGCCAAATATACTACAATTTCTTAGGAACAATTTACAATTTCTCAGGAAATTTTTTTTATTCATCAACAAAAATTCAACCCGGGCCGACATGTAACAAAGAAAACTTTCGAAATTGGATAGGTTAATTTCATCAAAAATGCATTGTGGATGACCTTGTGGTCATGGCTGGCAAAGTTTGAACAATCACGCCCAAAAGCAGCGATACCAAAAAAGATTAGAGAATGAGAATGAGACCCGCCTTGAACATCAATTGATAGTGATTCCGCTTAGTAGTGAGTCTCTGAGACATAGTCTTGTCCCAAACACGGCCTTGCCGTTTTACTTGTTTTTCAAGTAAAATGGGTAGATCCAATAATGACTTTCTGGTCTAAATGTACTCAATTGCATATTTTCCTGTATCATTTTTACTAACTATATCAACTGAGATAGATGTATTAGGTTTTTCAGGTTGACACCATAGAAGTGCAGAATATGATCACATATTGGTATCTTTAGGTTGAATAATCAGAATTCTATTGTAATTAAGTTTTACTTCTACTTTAGGAAATAAAACGATTTTATTTGATAGCTAACAACTATTCTAAGTTTGTGATAGTTAAAAGAATTCATTTCAAGTTATATTTAAGTAAAAATGTACTTGAAATGAATATTTTAACTAATCACCAAACATATGCCGTAAATCCATCGGGCTATTTTTAAGGCTAATTACTAAATAAATTACGTAATTAATTTGGCACTAGAGGTAAGCGTTTGCACGGTAAGCAGGAGTTGTGGGTTCGAGTCCCGCTCCGGGCCGATTTTTTCTCCCAGCGGCTCTAAATTATTTAAATTAATTAATTTATTTATAATTATTAATATTAATAAGAGATGGCACCTAACGCTTACCTCTAGTGCCAAATTAATTACGTAATTTATTTAGTAATTAGCCTTAAAAATAGCCCGATGGGTTTACGGCATATGTTTGGTGATTAGTTAAAATATTCATTTCAAGTACATTTTTACTTAAATATGAACTTGAAATGAATTCTTTTAACTATCACAAACTTAGAATAGTTGTTAGCTATCAAATAAAATCGTTTTATTTCCTAAAGTAGAAGTAAAACTTAATTACAATAGAATTCTGATTATTCAACCTAAAGATACCAATATGTGATCATATTCTGCACTTCTATGGTGTCAACCTGAAAAACCTAATACATCTATCTCAGTTGATATAGTTAGTAAAAATGATACAGGAAAATATGCAATTGAGTACATTTAGACCAGAAAGTCATTATTGGATCTACCCATTTTACTTGAAAAACAAGTAAAACGGCAAGGCCGTGTTTGGGACAAGACTATGTCTCAGAGACTCACTACTAAGCGGAATCACTATCAATTGATGTTCAAGGCGGGTCTCATTCTCATTCTCTAATCTTTTTTGGTATCGCTGCTTTTGGGCGTGATTGTTCAAACTTTGCCAGCCATGACCACAAGGTCATCCACAATGCATTTTTGATGAAATTAACCTATCCAATTTCGAAAGTTTTCTTTGTTACATGTCGGCCCGGGTTGAATTTTTGTTGATGAATAAAAAAAATTTCCTGAGAAATTGTAAATTGTTCCTAAGAAATTGTAGTATATTTGGCAAAAAAGACACAAAGGGGAAAGGAAATATATTTAAATGAGACACATTTAGGTACCACACCATGTTTATGACAATGTTAGAGGAAGAATAATTGGTTACGCTGATCGAGCATTTGATTCTTGATTTGAAAAGTGAGAAAAATTTTTGTTTTGCAGTTTTCATGGTTATAAAACTTTATAGTTTCACTTACGATGCCAAATATACTATAAATATATGTATAGTATATTTGGTGTCATAAGATTATAAAGTATTAAAGATATATTGTTAAGATATAAGAGTACAATATGCCTTTGTAAAGGTATATGTGTAAGGTTGCTGAGTTTAAGGGAGAATACAGTTTATCTCGCGTCAAAATGAGCCTAAGGGAAACCGCGTATGTGGGCAGTGGCAAAGGAGGCAAATGAAGAACAAGTGTTTTACAAGAGAAAACCCATTTATTTATTCAAATTCATGCTTACATTGATATTGGACAATTCCAAAATCTCGGTGTTCCTATGAAACAGTGAGAGTTCGGGTGATTGGTCATAGCCCAGGCAGACGAGAAGGATCACTGGATGATGCAGGTGTTCGGTGTTAAGCTGCGGCATCCTAGGTGATCGGCGGTAGCACAACACAATAGATAAATCAAACTGTAGGCTTAATCCAGAGGAGACTCTCTTTTGACCTTGAAGTTCTGATTTTTATAGTTTTTCCCCTACTATTCGCATTTCGGGTTGGTCCCTTGTCCCATTCCTCGCTTCCTGATTGGTCTCTCCTTTGTCTCCAGGTGCAAGATGAAACCTTTTCAGGTTGCGGGAAAGGTCTGATTCGAGGTGTCCGTCTGATACCTCTTTGACTCGGTGACTGTTTATAAAACAATAACACCTGCACTCATAACTCAGGCTGTTGTTTACCATTTTTTGTGACATCTAAGAATTTAACGATCATTTTCATCTTTCATCTATCAAAAATTTCCCTTTTTTTGTTCGAAAAGGTTTATCTCGCCCAACATTTTATAGTCTTGCTATAGTCATTTTATAGTCAAAGATCTACCTGTTTATGAGCGCTCATGTTAGAGTTTGTCTTCCGCCAAGATCATGACAGATAGTTTGACACATACTCGAACCGTTCCGAGTCTCGTTGTTTACATCTTGTGTCGAGCAAGAATGTCATGGTTTACACGAGTTCGAACCTTGTCTGGGAACCCACATATGTATAAAGACATTTTTTTACAAAGAGATACTGTTGTTATTGTTAATTCATAAAATACACCCATATATATAACAATAAGTTGATTAATTTTATTTTAGAATTGTAACAGTACCTGGAAGATATAATACTGAAAAGCTACTAGAAAATCCTATAGATGATGTATATAGGCAAAAGCTTTTTGTAGAGACAGTTTATGACTTCAAAGATGCACTCAGTTTACTTAAAGAAATTCATCATCCTTCTTTGTACAATGTACCTGATATTACTATTCAATCAACAATAGAATTAGATACAAGACTACCAAAAAAGGTATAGTGTATTTAAACATTTATAATTAACTAATAAGAATGTATCAAGTCTCAAAATCTAACATTTAAAAATTTTGATTTACTTGAATATTTTAAATGAATTGATTATACTAATAGCTTTTCTCCTATATATTTATCATAAAAGTGAATAAAGAAACCATGTATGATGATAAAATTTTAAAATTATATAAAAGCTTGGAAAATATTTATTTTAATATTTTCATTATAGTCACCTATAATGTCTTTGGCAATAGTCACCTATTGTAGCAAGATTTTTCTGAGAGTTTTAGGCCACAAGGGGATGACAAGAAGATGTGAGAAGAAGAAAAGTGTGTGAAAGAGAAAAGTATGAAAAATGTTATTAAAGAAATATTATTAAATGTATAGTCTATTCAGTATTTCTTTTAGTCTATAAGTCATGTTATTAAATAACATGACTTATAGACTAAAAGAAATACTGAAAATCTGAACGGTGAGTGAAGTAATCTAATATCATAGTTGAAAGTGACCTTGAGAAAAGAACATTAGAAATATGAATGTCAAAAAGAATAACAAAGGAAATTATGTTGTTGGTGGAATAGAAATAACATTTATGTCGGTAGAAAGATTAAGAGATGAACTAGAAATAAGGTAGGCATCAACAAGTAATAATCAAGAATTGCTGTTAAGATTAAATAATGTATTAAGAGTAGAAGAAAGTGAAACCATGAGAAATGGAAGCAATGATACACATCATCTAGTGATAGTATTAATCAGAAAGATATGATGTTACAATTAATGCAACCAGTGATGCAACTGATTAATCAGCAAGTAAATAGAGAGACAGTAACAGTGACACCTACCACGATTGAGGTGCAAGCAGTACTCAGTTTGTCAAGGTTAATGCAGGAGTTTAGTGGAACAAGTAAGGAGAGTGTAGATGAATGGATTGATTTAGTAGAGTTATGGAAACAGCAACAGGAGCTAGCATCATAACAAGTATTACCAGTGGTTGTAAATTGTTTTCAAGGAGCAGCAAAAGACTGGAATTCTGAACTCATAGAAGATTGGACAACCTGTGATGACGAACAAACATCTAATGAATTCTTTTCATTAGTAAGCCAAGCATGTGAACAGATGTTGCATAGTAATCTCACACTAGAACAGGAAAAGGAAATAAAGAAAGTGGTTCAAGAACACATAAAAAGAATGAAAGAGGATAAGGGCTGTTTCAACAGGTTTTATACAATAAGGTTTGTAAGGAACCAAGTCCAAAAGTTATTTATATTTACTTTTATTTTGCTTATTATTCTATTTTTGTTTGGGGCTTATGTTTTGTTAGGACGAAGGTTTCCTCACCATTCACCTTAGTAACTTAAAAATAGAAGAAAAACCAACTCACCGATGAAAGAAAAGCGCCGTAGAAAAACTCGCGCACNCAAATGCAGAGTGAGACTGAAAAACAAAGGAGTACGAGTCCTCCAGGTGCGTTACTTGGTTTATCACTTGAAGAAAAAATGGAAGTTGATGGAAGATCGGTTTATGTGGGCAATGTTCATTATGGAGCAACAGCTGAAGAATTAGAACAACATTTTTATGGCTGTGGTTCTATAAATCGTGTGAAAATTTTATGTGACAAGTACTCAGGTCATCCTAAAGGGTTTGCATATGTTGAATTTGAGGACAAAGATTCTATTCAGACTGCTATGGCGTTAGATGAATCACTTTTTAGAGGAAGACAAATTAAAATAATGCCAAAAAGAACGAATCGACCGGGAATTAGTACCACAGATAGACCACCAAGAGGACGTTATCGAGGACGTGGGAGACCATATACTCGAGGAGTTTATTTTGGATATCGTCCAACCAGAAGGTCATACAGGCCTCCACGCTGCAGAACTTAACTCTCCAGCAGCTTTTCCATCTTCCTTACTTTTTCATAAATGTAAAAAATAAAAAAAGATGTAAAAAAATTGTCGAATAAAAATATATGTGTAAATAAATAAATAAAATATCTCTTTGTCTTTCAGTTTGAAGTGTCTTTTATCAGGTTACGTCAGGACAAGTCAATTTTAATTGAAGAATTAAGTACAGTAGAGCATCGATTATCCGACTCAATTGGGGACTGGGGTTGGTGGATAATTGAAAAGACGGATAACCGAGAAATATGAAAAAATACATTATTAATATAGTATATCCCATGTAATTAGTATATTAGTAAATCGCTATTAACCCACTTCGCGTTGAATTTTCATCGATGTTAAGCGTAACAATTTTTTTAACTAGAGAAACCTCACAAGCATGTCGAATCTGGCGTTTAAAGGATATAATACATTAATATTATGACTCCCAAAGAGAAGTTCAATTTTATTACTATTTATGATTTTACAGTTTATTTAGCTATTTATATATTTTGAATCATTAGTATGATGTAATTTTATATAAACAATCATTGTAAAATCATATCTAACATTTTTAAAGCTGTTAAGCCAGCATCTTTAGGAACCTGAAACAAAATGTAAATCTTATAAGTATTTACATAAATTAAAGATAAAACAAAATAATTAAAAGCTTGGCTTACCATATGTCCAGATTTCATTATCCAAAACAAATGAAAATTTTTGAAAGACTTGACAAAAAAAGCTGTCCGATTGGGTGAAAATACAAAAGCTTTTCGAGCTGCCTGCTTAAAGCTTGAAATTCCTGGCCATTTCAGCTTATGGATCCACTGAAGTGTTCCTAGCAAAAGAAATACATACATATATATTTACAAATTTTAAAATTTAAATATACATATGTATTTAAGTTTATCATTAATTTAATCAATATTTCAGGATTTATCTTTAAAGACTTACTTTTCATTAAAAAAGCATTTAAAAATACAAAATAACAATAATAATATGCAAATTGACTATTAGAAAATATTCATAAATGACGCAATTGTATTATTGATAATTCATTTAAAAAAACAAAATAATTAAAAGAATTATATAATAATATATTCCCATATAAATTATAATATGGGAATATATATTGATAGTTGAGCTGTATAAAAATTCCTTTGAATATCTGGATAATAAGTCTGTAGTGATAATTTATGTAAAATATATATAAATAATATTTAAATCACTTCTGATTTTTTTCTGTATACACAAATCAGTTATTATAAACAATGTCTTCCATTAATGTTCATAAAAACATATTTAGGTTCATTCTGGACAACATGGGCCAATAACTTCTGAACAAATAGAGTCACATATGAAAACTTCATTGCAGTGAACAATGCTAAGGTAGTTTTCTTCATTATATATAAATACCATTAACTCCAAAAACAATGTCTGGGGTAAAAGAAATAGAAAGTTTAAGGCATTTTCACTCATCTTATCCAACTAAATCAGATTGCCCATATTATTCACAGAATGAACAGGATGATATACGAAAAAAATATGAGTATGGTTTGTCTTTAACTATTCCAACAAATTGTTTCTTTAGTTGTAATTTGTGTCTTCCCTTCATTTCATGACTTTTCCTGGTTATTCCAAGCTGAATAGAGTGAAATGCTCTATACATGCAAAAGAACTTAAATTTGCTAATATAGAGAACCTTAAAATTAGTCCATCTACTTCCATCAGGAATACTGTTTTCCAGATATATNTTAAAAAAAAAAAAATTTAAGAGATATTGAGGTAATTTTTGTTATGCCGAGTTTCACCACCAGGGTGCGTTATGTAGTTTACATACAGGCAACATGCCATGTGTTTCTCATTCTTGTTCCGGCTGCCACAAGTTGAGGTTAGAGAACAAAGAGGTCCGAAAGTTGAATATTTTTATTCAATTTTAAATACTGTACATTTTTTAAAATCAATATTTTATCAAAATGGCGGACATAAATGGCGAAGGCGATCCTTTAGACGAAGAAATTGAAACAAGAGAGAATGGTGAACATAACGAGGAATTACCAGAAGGTGCCGTTGACGATACGGGCGAAGAACAGAATATCAAAGATTACGAATTCGAAGCTATAAAAGCCAGAATAAGGGAAACGGAAGAAGAAGCTAAAAAGTTAAAACAAATGCAGAGTGAGACTGAAAAACAAAGGAGTACGAGTCCTCCAGGTGCGTTACTTGGTTTATCACTTGAAGAAAAAATGGAAGTTGATGGAAGATCGGTTTATGTGGGCAATGTTCATTATGGAGCAACAGCTGAAGAATTAGAACAACATTTTTATGGCTGTGGTTCTATAAATCGTGTGAAAATTTTATGTGACAAGTACTCAGGTCATCCTAAAGGGTTTGCATATGTTGAATTTGAGGACAAAGATTCTATTCAGACTGCTATGGCGTTAGATGAATCACTTTTTAGAGGAAGACAAATTAAAATAATGCCAAAAAGAACGAATCGACCGGGAATTAGTACCACAGACAGACCACCAAGAGGACGTTATCGAGGACGTGGGAGACCATATACTCGAGGGGTTTATTTTGGATATCGTCCAACCAGAAGGTCATACAGGCCTCCACGCTGCAGAACTTAACTCTCCAGCAGCTTTTCCATCTTCCTTACTTTTTCATAAATGTAAAAAATAAAAAAAGATGTAAAAAAATTGTTGAATAAAAATATATGTGTAAATAAATAAATAAAATATCTCTTTGTCTTTCAGTTTGAAGTGTCTTTTATCAGGTTACGTCAGGACAAGTCAATTTTAATTGAAGAATTAAGTACAGTAGAGCATCGATTATCCGACTCAATTGGGGACTGGGGTTGGTGGATAATTGAAAAGACGGATAACCGAGAAATATGAAAAAATACATTATTAATATAGTATATCCCATGTAATTAGTATATTAGTAAATCGCTATTAACCCACTTCGCGTTGAATTTTCATCGATGTTAAGCGTAACAATTTTTTTAACTAGAGAAACCTCACAAGCATGTCGAATCTGGCGTTTAAAGGATATAATACATTAATATTATGACTCCCAAAGAGAAGTTCAATTTTATTACTATTTATGATTTTACAGTTTATTTAGCTATTTATATATTTTGAATCATTAGTATGATGTAATTTTATATAAACAATCATTGTAAAATCATATCTAACATTTTTAAAGCTGTTAAGCCAGCATCTTTAGGAACCTGAAACAAAATGTAAATCTTATAAGTATTTACATAAATTAAAGATAAAACAAAATAATTAAAAGCTTGGCTTACCATATGTCCAGATTTCATTATCCAAAACAAATGAAAATTTTTGAAAGACTTGACAAAAAAAGCTGTCCGATTGGGTGAAAATACAAAAGCTTTTCGAGCTGCCTGCTTAAAGCTTGAAATTCCTGGCCATTTCAGCTTATGGATCCACTGAAGTGTTCCTAGCAAAAGAAATACATACATATATATTTACAAATTTTAAAATTTAAATATACATATGTATTTAAGTTTATCATTAATTTAATCAATATTTCAGGATTTATCTTTAAAGACTTACTTTTCATTAAAAAAGCATTTAAAAATACAAAATAACAATAATAATATGCAAATTGACTATTAGAAAATATTCATAAATGACGCAATTGTATTATTGATAATTCATTTAAAAAAACAAAATAATTAAAAGAATTATATAATAATATATTCCCATATAAATTATAATATGGGAATATATATTGATAGTTGAGCTGTATAAAAATTCCTTTGAATATCTGGATAATAAGTCTGTAGTGATAATTTATGTAAAATATATATAAATAATATTTAAATCACTTCTGATTTTTTTCTGTATACACAAATCAGTTATTATAAACAATGTCTTCCATTAATGTTCATAAAAACATATTTAGGTTCATTCTGGACAACATGGGCCAATAACTTCTGAACAAATAGAGTCACATATGAAAACTTCATTGCAGTGAACAATGCTAAGGTAGTTTTCTTCATTATATATAAATACCATTAACTCCAAAAACAATGTCTGGGGTAAAAGAAATAGAAAGTTTAAGGCATTTTCACTCATCTTATCCAACTAAATCAGATTGCCCATATTATTCACAGAATGAACAGGATGATATACGAAAAAAATATGAGTATGGTTTGTCTTTAACTATTCCAACAAATTGTTTCTTTAGTTGTAATTTGTGTCTTCCCTTCATTTCATGACTTTTCCTGGTTATTCCAAGCTGAATAGAGTGAAATGCTCTATACATGCAAAAGAACTTAAATTTGCTAATATAGAGAACCTTAAAATTAGTCCATCTACTTCCATCAGGAATACTGTTTTCCAGATATATTAATATTAGATTATCCATATGCTCAAAGGTTTTGTACAAAATGATTATTATTAAAATTCAGATAACATTTTACAAATAAACATTAAAAAGTAATACTTACCAAGAGTGTCAACAATTAAATCTAATTGTGCATTATAAACATTCACTGAGAGATCAGTTCTATTCAGAAGATAATCCACTTAAAAAAAAATGATGAATGATTACTTTATTGTATGCATAACTCATATATATATATATATATAATGATATAGTATAATTATTTTTATAATATAATTTATTTAATTACTATCATTCTAAAATCACTCTTTACAATAAAAAGTTTCAAGTTTTAACTTTAAGTTTATAATTAGCTAAAACTTAATTGTAAAGAGCGATTTTAGAATGATGATAATAAATTATAATAAAATATTATAAAAGGTAACAAATTATACAAAACATGAAACATTAAGTAATGTAAACTCAAATAGATTTTGAAAAAATTATAAATTAAGTGATAACTAGATCATAGGATTAATCAGTACAGCCATATTCCATTAATTTGAATATAGTTAACAAATACTTAATGTAGTCATTAAAGAATATGTTTTTATGCATTAATGCAATGAATAAGTTAAAAAACAAACACATTCATTCTACCCCATCAGAAAATATACATGGACTGCTTTTTTTTGTAATATATTGTAGACAACAATGAAAATGTTGTAATGATACAGTACTGTATGAAAGCAAAATAATGATATTATTTATTTATCATAAATTTACTGTCAGGACTAAGCTCAGACTGCACTAAAATTTTGTGATAAAAATAATTAAACTGTACAATTGTTATACAGTAAGACCCCACTTAACGCTGATTTGATATAATGCGGTCTGCTCGAAGCCTAAAAAAAAGCTAAAAATTTATGCCGACTCAAATTATTGCAGCATTTCATTGATTCATATATAATATGATTATTCCCAAACACAAACCAATCAGCATAAATGGCAATTCATTGTAGTGCTGTACTTTCCTTAAATCTATGTTTGTTTGGTGCAATTTTGAAAAAATATAACTTCACAGATGCCTTGGGCAATATTGACTTTGCTTGGCAAGAATTAACTGATAAATGCATGAATGGAGTGTGAAAGAAGGTATGGCTGGAGGTATCCAAGAATTCTCAACGAGAAGAGCCTATCATTGACCAAATTGTCAACCTAATTGATACAGAAGGACTAGGAGATGTAGATGAGCAGGATATTGAGGAGTTACTGCAGGTTTCTGGTGAGACCCTTATCAACAATGACCTTCAAGAACTGGCAGAACAAAAAATTCATGTAGAACTGGAAAATAGTGATTCTGAAAATGAAGCATTACAGTAGAGCATCATTTATCTGAATCAATTGGGAACTGGGGTTCTTCAGATAACTTATTTTTCAGATAACCGATTATGTATGAAAAATATATTAATCTATCCCGTGTTGAAATTTTTCTCCGTTGCGTGTCGCTTTGCGTTGAATTTTCGTCGATATTAAGCCAAACGAAAACTTTTTAAAATAATAATCATGGCTATTGTATCATTAAAAATTATTTTTTTATTTTGTACAAACAAAATAAATATATTGAAAAATATAAAAACCAAAAAAAATATACTTTAGAAGTTGATCTAGTATCAAAAACATTCGATTCAGCACAACAGTCCTCAGAAAAACATCACACAAAAGTGCCAGTGCTGCCAGCTAAAACACACACCAACAAAAAAAAAAAAATATTGGAGTAGTCCAAGATATAGCCAAAGATTGCAGCGCCACAGTACTAGCGAAAATTTAAATTTGCCGACTGGAATGCTTTCGGTTAAACAACGGTCTACTGTATTTATTGATTTGTTGACATTATTATTTATTGATAACTTTCATTTCATGTTTGGTTTTAGATTCAAGTAAGAAAACCCTCAATGAGTAAGAAAAAGAAACCAAGCATTTTTGCATTTCTTTTGTAATACTTTGTGTAACCTTAAGTTGATCAGTGTCCAAATTTCTCCACAGACCACCGGTTGGCAACTGCTGATATATAGTACAAAAATTGTCCATAATTAATAAACCATATAAAAACAAAAATGCATTAACTAAGAATTCCCTGTATAATATTTTGATTTAAATTAGTAAATAATTCCTTACCATCTTCTGTGACTGATCTCATAAAGTCCCCTGTTAAAGCAGTGAATACATCCGCTGCCTGCCCTTTNTATTGAGGAGTTACTGCAGGTTTCTGGTGAGACCCTTATCAACAATGACCTTCAAGAACTGGCAGAACAAAAAATTCATGTAGAACTGGAAAATAGTGATTCTGAAAATGAAGCATTACAGTAGAGCATCATTTATCTGAATCAATTGGGAACTGGGGTTCTTCAGATAACTTATTTTTCAGATAACCGATTATGTATGAAAAATATATTAATCTATCCCGTGTTGAAATTTTTCTCCGTTGCGTGTCGCTTTGCGTTGAATTTTCGTCGATATTAAGCCAAACGAAAACTTTTTAAAATAATAATCATGGCTATTGTATCATTAAAAATTATTTTTTTATTTTGAACAAACAAAATAAATATATTGAAAAATATAAAAACCAAAAAAAATATACTTTAGAAGTTGATCTAGTATCAAAAACGTTTGATTCAGCATGACACAGTCTTCAGAAAAACACCACACAAAAATGCCAGTGCTGCCAGCTAAAACACACACACCAACAAAAAAAATATTGGAGTAGCCCAAGATATAGCCAAAGACTGCAGCGCCACACCACTAGGAAATTAAATTTGCCGACTGGAATTTTTTCGGATAACCGACTTTCGGATAAACAACACTCTACTGTCTTACTTTTGATAGAAATAAGGCCTATTATGATAAGAATAAAACACCCAGAGAATTCCAAGAGAATAATTTGGTTTTGTATAAAGTATTTGTACATCATAAATTCCAAAATCATTGCAAGGGTCCTTATTACATGTCTAAAATGATCAATTTGGTAACTATCCACATAAGTAATGCAAAATGAATGTATAATGCATGCTTCCTGAGTGAAATCATATTATTCAAGAGATGAAGAACCAGGTGAGAGAGACGAAAATGGAACTCATGAAGGGGATAATGCTTACAGCCTGACCAAAGACAACTAGGATTAGGACTATATCGTTTGAACTATGTTGTGTTGATGAAGCTTTGACATTTCACTTTTGTTGTGTTTATGATTAATAGTGAACTGATGTTTTATATATCAGAATATTTTTGTTAGAAACTATTTGCCTGCAGTATGGTTGAGTTGTAGCAAGATTTTTCTGGGAGTTTTAGATGAGAGGACAACGAGAAAATGTGAGAAGAAAAGGGAAAAAAGTAATAGAGAAGGAAGAACCACCACTACACCTATAATGTCTTTTTATTAGTTTATAACTTCTTTATAAACTAATTAAAAAGACTATTTATGTTATATATAATTTCAAACATTTATTGTTTATACTTATAAAAACAATCAAACAACTGATCAAATTAGAAAAAGTTAATTCAGTGGTTATTATAAAATTAATTAAATTAATATTTAATTATTTAAAGCTATATAAATGTCTGTTAATTTATATAATTTTTTTTTATAATATAGAATAGATATATGGATAGAATTTATGGTTTCATAAAATATCCACATGATATTAATCTCAAACAAGAAAGGAAAATTCTTGCTGTTTGTGAGGTATGTTAAATAATATATTCTTAACATAAAATATTTTATTATGTTGTATTATAATGTAAAAATGTCTAAAAATCCTGATCAGTGAAAAAAACAATCAAAATAATAAAAATATTTTTTTCTGATTGTTCCTGATCTTTTTTTGAAGGAATATTTACAATTAATACATCAGATTATCTTAAATCATTTATAGCATATTTNACGTCCGTAGCGTGGCGCTACGGACGGCGGGAAAGTAGTTCGGCTGCCTGATGACGTTTTACGTATTATAGGAGTTATTTTTACCGTTGTTTACGGATACTGCCACAATTTTTATAGGAATCATAACTATAGGAAACGGTTTTATAGGGGGATCTACTGTATATACACAGTCTTGCATAAGTATGATATCTTAAATTTCTGTTAATTTGTTATAAACATTGTGACCATACAAATGTCAAATGATATTAAAATATCTTCTGATATTTTATTTTTAAGCTGAAATTTTTATCTAATGATAATCTGCTTATTACAAATTTTCAAATAAATTTGAGTTACTTCATATTTAACAAACACATCACAAGAAAAAAAATTAAGTTTAAAACATGAATTTAAATTATTTAATGTGAATTTAATTTAAATATTTGTAAACGTTCTTCATTCAAATGATTTATTCTAATTTGTTCTATTTAATTTGGATCTGAAAATAAAACACTGAAGTTCAGAAAAGGATTTATTCTCAACAAAATATAAAAATAAAAAAACTAAATGATTTTTCTTTTTCTTTGTTCATCTGGAAATCCACAAAAATACATCATTAATATCATCATTGTTATAAGTGGAAATGTAGCATTGGATTCAGAGTTGGTAAAAATCTACAACTCAGACTCCATCCAAAATTGTATCTGACCTCAATATAAAATCTTGTTGTTTTAATATTTTTGCATTATAGCACATGCTCTTAGTCTTATGTATGAAATTTCTATTCTTAATATTACTATAATAACCAATATTGGACTTTCATTGTTGTAACATTGTTAAATATGGGAAATAAAAAAGTCATAAAAAGTGTAGTTACAATAAAACCATTATAATTTTTATTTAAATATTACAAATATAAAAAGTAGTCTAATGATTCACACATTAGTGTGAATCATTATGATACTATTAACCTTATGATACTATTTACCATTATTAATACATATTGTGCTTCCATGAAAAAGTCAAAATTTGAGATTTCAAAATTGAGTAGTTGAAATTAGAAAGTTTTGTCCACTAACTCCATAACTTTAATAATCGTTAATAATATTTATGTCTTCGAAAAATATTAAAATTGCTTGGCAATGTTTGAACTTAATTGCAACATTAAATACAATTATTATAAATATTGCTTTATTAAAGTTCACAAATTGCTTTGATTACTTACAAATATTATATTAGATAAATTATTTTTCTGGCTGTCATATATAACAGAGAAAAGTAAGGTGACCAGTCAAAAAATGACCTTCACAATTTTGACTTAATATAAATTTTATAATACATTTTTTTAAATATATAAAAATATAAACTACCTCCCCAGGTTACATTCTTGGGAATAATATGCAATGACTTCTTTATTACATCATTCATTAGTTTATATAGTTCATCGTCTGATAAATAACCAACATGGCGCTGAAACATTGAATCTAAAGAGCAAAAACAAAACTGCGTTAAAAATATTAATTTAAAAATATCTATCTACGAATAACTTAACACATCACTTACAAAGAGAATGATTTTTAGGTAGACTAACAGCAGAGGAAGTATTAGGTCCTTCATTGGCCAAAATATTATACCAATTTACAGAATTAGTAAGCTGAAAAGTTCAAATTACTCAGTATTTAGTATTTATGTAATTTAAACATTAAAATTTTATAAGTACAATGCTTACTTGTTATGCTGTATATACATCAAGTTATATAAATATACACTACTAACTCAATACAATATGCTTTGATAGAAGATGGACAGCCTGCATACCCCAATTTATTTATTCTTATCAAAGCAGAAACATGTAGCTGTTAAAGAGTGTTTGAATGATAGGATGAGTGGTAAGTTAGTAAACAGTGTCTACCATATAGCATGGATTGTTGGTACACATGACAAAAAAACTTTCTTCTTATCCTATAGTCTCATGTATAATGCAGTCAAAATTTTTAGATTCAAAGGACCATATTATATTGAGTCACTAGTGTATGTTCAACTGAAATTACATTTCTATAATTCTTAATTTTTCAGAATATAAACTTCTAAATGTTTATAATATAATAAAATTTTCATAATCAAACGTTTTATAACTGATTTTTTTTTTAAAAACTCAGTTTAAAAGTTGGAACATTTCAATTTTGGCCACTTGTTAATTTTCAATATTTATTATTTTAAAAAAATTAGATAATTCTGAAACAATTATTAAATGATCAAATTTGAGAATTTACTTTAATATTCATAATACAAAATAAATTTTTCATTAATATAACTATGTAATACTAAAAATATAACTGAAAAATGCTTTCTTTGCAGTTAGGTTTAAAGGAATACAAGGATTGTACTGAAAATTTTTGACACATTAATTTTACTTCTAAATAATGGCACTGAAAAATAATAAATGGTTGATAAGATAAAGTGAAACAACACATACTTTTTCCTATAGGAAATTTGGTTGATGTTAATTTACAAACAATGAGGCCTGAATTGATGAATAAATAACATTCCATATTGTAATACCAAACAATCTGTCAATTTTTTTATTGGACTATATTAAGGATAATAAATAATCCAAAACAAAGCAATTTGGCTAGACATAAGTGATTAAGCTGCCATCTCATGATAAATTTAATGACTAGTATGATTATATCTAAACTGATAAATTAATAGTTCTGGAAATCCTTCCCACAATTATGCAGATACTTTAGGATAAGGAAGTCTTAAGGGAAGATGTTTATGTTATTAGCCTATTCAAACAAAGCAACGAATTTTATTATGTGGGATCTACTTATTACAAAATATATGAAAGAGCTTATTGATTACATTAGTAGGAATTCCCAAATAAGTAGTATGTTAACTCAATGGGTGCTTTTCACAAAGTACAAGTTTATTAAATAAATCCATTTATTAAGCAATGGTTGAATAATACCTCCATGCAAAATTAAAAATAGAAGAAGAAAAAATACAATGTGTTTGAGACATCTTCTGAACTGGCTATTATTAAGCATCATGTTTTCAAGGGAAATGTTAGAGATGTAAATATATGGTGATGTGATGTATATACTAATGCTGATTATATACTGCCACAACTTAAAATGTACAATAATAATATAAGACTTTATAATTGAAATTAAATGCTTGAAAATTTTTCATTGCTTGTGATTGATATGTTTAATAAAATTTTTAATTATTTATTAAAGACTGTTGAATTTAACATTAATGAAAAAGTTATTGTTTAGGCATTTGTAATAATGCTCTTAAAAATACTTCAAGAATAATAACAGTAATCAACCAAGTGATGAATCTATGAAGATTCTACACAAGATTTTCAAATTTAGTTCAATTTAATGTAATTAAAACTGAATAAAACTTACTGAGTTTATTAGATCCTGTGCTTCAGCCCATAGATTTGTTGCATCACTGAAAGACTGGTTATCAATTGCTGCTTTAACATTTTTTGCTGCCTCACTGATTGATTTTAAACCATTTTCATCAACAAGAGACTAAAAATTAAATAAAGTTAAAATTTATTTTTTAATGATTAAAAAAATTTATAAATTTTCTTACAGTTGCATAAAGATATTGACCCCAAGTAGCTACTGTGTCCAATGGAGAAATAAAACTGTCTCCCAAAGCAACTCCTTTAAATTTGCATTTCATTTTTCCAGATTGTATACTCTACAAAAAATTTATAAACTTTAATTTTTAAATTAAAATACTAAAAGTTAGTATTTACTTAAAAACTTTGTTATTAAGACTATATCATTTATTAACAATAGTTTTTTGAAAAAAAGTCAGAAAAATTTATATAATTTTAAGAGACTATAACTAATACCAGAAATCATTACAAATTACTCAAATAAAATTTTATTGTATTAATTAAATAAATTATATTAATTCTTCAAAATACTGTGTAAATATATTTAAAACTTGTTAACATTAAAAAAATATTCCATTAAATGCTCATTTTGAAATTCTTCATATTTTGCTACAATGCAATGCATCAAATGTTACATTGCATTTAAATATATAAAATTAAGCTTGGCATTTGTCAAATTTTGTTATAATTAAACTTTCTAAAGTTAGCAAAATTTACAAATTTGTTCACATTTAATGGAAGGTAAGACTAAAATTACAAGCTTTAAAAATATTTCCTAGTATACATCAATGAAATATTACAGTATAAGATCCTAATATTGTAATTTATTAAAATATCTATATCATTATAATGAAATGAATAGAAAGATTGATGAAGAGGTTCATACAGATATAAACAACAATTTGTTTTAACAGTTTCTATATCTATACATCCACCAAAGCCGAGTCCTGCTTCGGGCCAATTCTTTTCTTCCAGTAATTCTAAAATTATTATTTAAATTTAATTAAATTATAATTATTAAATTTATCAAGAGATGGCGCCTAACGCCTAACTCTAATGCCAAATTGTCTATAAAATTATTAGTATTATAGCCGTTTCTAGCCCGATAATATTCAGCTTTGGCGGATGTATAGCTTTAAAACTTATTGGGTGTACTAAAGATGTTTGATTATAGCTTCTATATCATTGAAATGCCTAATGAAGAATGAAGCATTTACATAAAACACAATGATTATAAAAAGAGTATTCTTCAATATACTATATGCACATGACTTATCCATATTTTACAATTCAAAGCATATCCATCACTAATAACAGTCTTGCAACATATATCTATATGGAGATAAATTTCTAAAATTAATATACAATTTTATGATTAATCTATAGTCAATTTGTAATGATACAGAAATATAAATATAATAGAAGTATTTTGCAAAAAAAAAAATTTAGTAATGGTTTTACATAAATTCATAAATTAATAATATTTACACTAATCCAATTTGAATGACGTGTAGTAATAAAATAATTTCTCACCTTGTACAATGCTTTACCAAATGAAACAGCCATTTTTCCTCCATAAGATTCTGCAAATATATATAATGGTACATTCTGCAAAAAGAAGTAAATAAAAATCATTAAATAATAATTTTTAAAAATACAAATTTGATAGAAATAAAAATTTACAATGCTTTATTCATAATATTTTTCACACATTAATAAAGATAATTGATTATGTAGTGTTCTCCTAAGAAATTTTTAATAACTGGACAAAATGAGAGAGTAGCCAGACAGACTAAAAAAAAGTAAAATTTTTGTTACTTGTACATAAAACACCCTCTTTCTTCCTTCAAACAGACACACATTATATAGGATATCCAGAATTTCCAAATTTAGCCATTTGTTTAGTATTTACCATCCAACCATGGTCATTTAAATTTCATTGTTTCAATGACAAGTCATTGCTATGTCAAGAATAAAATTAGCCTGAAATTATTGTTCCTTAAAAGATAAAAATTTTATCTTGGAAAAATGCCTAATTAATAACCAATGGTGACAATGGGAAAGGTGTTGTGGAGATGAAATAAACCCAAGGCAGCAAAAATTTTGACTTAAATTGTGGATAATAAGACCAGTTTTTGACCATAGTAGTCACTTAGTTAACTGGCCAGCATATCCAGTCTACAGTACAGGAATGCAAGTGAGCGGAAACATCTTTACACACAGGATTTGTTACAAAGGCTACTTAATGAGACAACTCCTTTACGGGCCAAAAACTGGCATTATTATTTACATTTTTAGTCAAAATTTTTGGTACATGCTCTGATAAGATACAGAGATGTCAAAGAAAAAAACACCTGAAATAGTTACAATAAACTCTGAATGGAATGTTTTATTATATATGATGCAAATAAACAATATGTATGTATATATATGCTAGTTTATATATAGATAAAAGTGATTGGATTTGTCTGTGTCACAGTCATGTTGAATCTTATTCCTCTAGTTTTTAAGTCTTTATAATATTCGGTCCCAGAATTTAATTGATTAATTTGTGAGGTCCCGGAACTAGCCCCCACCAAAAAGAAAGAAATGTAAAAATTTGTTAAGTTAAACTGTTTATATAAGTGTCGAATTGGTGACACTGGACTTTGACATCAGCGCTCATAAAGAGTAGAAGGAAAAACAAAATTTTAGATATAGAAAAAGAAAATTTAAAATATTAAAGTTAAGACGCAGTTTAGAAAGCAAAACGAAACAAGAAAAAAATATCAAAATGAGCGTAGGTGTCATAGTCAACTATTAAATGCGATCAGAATCTAAAAGATGGTGTCGGATAAACCATCTCCAGCCGACCTTTCCTGTGAACTTTACAAAGCTCCATTTACACCTGGAGACGGATGGAAGACCAATTAGAAAGCGATAATGTAAAGTCTGTCCAACTAGCAAAAAGCCGATCTCGGAAAACTTATAAAAACACCAATTCCAAGGACAACAAGGCTTCTACTAAGACTTTCGCCAGACACCTGTTGTGTTCATCGTCTTCCCTTGGTGCTTCCGATCACTAGTATCTTGTGACTGTTCGCCTCCGAACTTTAACTCATCATTGCCCCAGGGCTCCTCTTCAGCTTTACCAAAGAAAAACATCAGTTATCCAATCGATAGGACCAAAGACATCTTCAAGTTTTAGATCGAAGGACCTCTTTCTAAAAATATGTAAGAAATTTCGATCAAGAATAAACGGTTTACCTCTGTAAAACACTTGTCTTTTGCTGCCTCTTAAAACCGCCACCCACATACACTAAGACAGACCATCCTGACCGTAGGGAATAAAATCTCCCCCCCAATCGGCATTCTTACAAATCATATAAGATTTGGCATATTAATTGATCATATCTCAATATTTTTAATGATTATTAATTTAAGAATTCTTAAAAATAAATATTCAAGAATTATCCATTCTTAATAAATATAAGTACATTATATTTATTTTAAAAAATGATATAAAAAATTAAAATTAAATTAATTTCCATATAATTACTAATAATAATACAATTTTATCAGTTTATTTGTCATTCTTTTAATTCTAAATTTGAAAACATCTTGAAAATCAAATCAAATCTTTATGTATCATATTATATAGCTTAGAACTAACTAATATTCTTACTCAATGATAAAGAAAAATTAAGTTGAAATCATCACTTTTTATATAAATCAAAATTTCTTTAATTTGGAAATCAAACTACAAATTAGTAATTTAAATTAAAAGGGTCATATTATTATTCTATGATCAAAGTTAACATACCTGAAATTCTGGTACTTTTCGAAAGAATGCAGCCATTAAAGTTAACAAATCCTGGGCAATCTGAGTGTTATTTGTACACAGTGCGCTCTTATTTGTAACATAGCTGAATCCTGTTCCAACAGGATTGTCTATGAAGAGCAAATTGGCTTTTTTTGTCTGCAATAAAAAATTTATTCCAATTAAAAAACCAATAAATAAATATTAAATAATTAAATTTGTGACTGAAAAGTATTTCATTTTCTTAACTATAGCTTATTATACCTATATGCTAAATTTTCTTCTGTAATCAATAGTGTAAAATTTATTATAGAGAGAGGGCTGTTGTTCAGAGATTTTTGTACATTAGAGTGTAAATGGTTATTCAAATAAAGTTCAAATTTGGTAACTTTAGTGACCTTGGATTTGCTGTTAGGTCACTTTTCGTGCTGCTGATGTGTTTTTGTTAGTTTAATTTTTTTGACCTTGCAAGATAAATCTGACAGTGAAGCAGAGCATTATAAGTTGCTACCTGCTAAGAATTGAGGACAAGCTGCCTTAAAAGTAAGTCTAAATAAATAAATTTCTAATTTTCATTTCAAAAATCAAAAGAAAAATGTCAAAGCCAGATAGCATGGAGTAATAGATATGCTTATACTTCAATTGCAGTGTTGTTCAATAAACACAATAAAAATCAGTAGGCTTCCATTAAAGAATACATCAATTTATTCATTTAAGTATTACTCCAGAAATGAAACTATCTCCCAAAAACATTTAAGGAAATACTTAAAAAACTTCTTGTAATTCAAAGTAAATAAACTGATATATTCCTAACTGAAAACATGCTGACTTTTGTTGTCTTTACATTAGAGGTGATTGGGTAACTGTACATATTAGAAAAAGCATTGTTAGTTTTTTTCTTTTTTAATATAATGGCATGAATAGAAATAACATTTATAAAAATTTACAGACCTATAGCTTGCATTTAAGCTAAAGTTCTTTCAATTTTTGTTTCTATGAACAGTTTTGGAGCACCTACATTCTAATCTTGTTTAACCTGAGGATGGCCTGTTGAATGGGCCGCTACTGTGGGTATCACTGGCCCTGCACTTTGGATACCTTCACCAGCAACAGCAAAGTGTTTTTTGCGCTAAAAGAACTTTGCCAAGGAAATCAGAATTCTGGACTAATTTTCCCTCGGCCCATTGGCTGGCACTTTTGACTGTTTTTTTTGTGTGTGTGTGTTGTGTGACCGGACTTCCATCACTGCACTGTTTGTCGCCCTCTTTGACTGTCCTCGACCATTCGTGTGGTCTCCTCGCCCACCTGGAGGGCTACTGTGCGGTTTTGTTTTTGTATATATTTTATTATTGCATTACCACCTAGATTGTTACTGTAACACCTATGTTATCCTTTATTGTCACTTATTTTACTCTACCATTTTGTGTGTTTTGTCTCCTGTGTATTACCATGTAATATTATTTATCTGTTTTCATTTGTACCCCTGCTATGTTTAACCATCCATGTATTTTATTATATTCTTGTCATATTAGCATCATCACAACTGTATTAGACATGTTTAGTACCACAATTTTCTGTAGTTTTAAATTATAGTTAGTACGGTATCAAGTTCCATACTGTTACTATGTTTTCTGCAATTTATATATGTAACCCAACGTCAATGTTTGTAATCTATGTTTTGTATCCTTTTATCCTACTGTTTTGTTTGAATTAAATGCGTTGCAGGATGCCCATGAGATTCATGGGCTTAGGCTGGCTACTTTCCTCTTTCCTATCTTACTATGCTTCACCTTCAGTCTTACCCCCCTCTCAACTAACTTTAATCCTTCTTCCTTTTCTAGTCTACCCAGGGCTATACCTACTGGTCAGGCCCTTTCTCTCTGTCTGTCTGTTGAATGGGCCAGGGATGTTAGTTTTGTTTTAATAAATTATCTCGGCAACTTGGGGTGTACTTTGATGGAAGTCAAAAATATTTATAATTGAAAAATAATAAGACAAACATGCATATCTAGTTATGATGATAGTGATTCAGTCATTCTTGATCTTTTGCGACACTATAGATCCTTCTATCTTGAACTAGCTCCTTAAGCTTTTGAATGGTCATTCATTATCAGGCCATTTTTGATGGTATCTAGCCATCAAGTTCTTTGATGGCCTGCAGGTCTTCTTTTGTCACTCACTCATGGACTTCTTTTTAAGGGAGTTAATGTGCATGACATGACCAAAATATTTGAGCCTGAGTCTGTTAATTTTGCCTTCCAATCATAAACCAGGTCTTACATGGTTCAACACTTCCTTGTTGGCAATCTTTGCTGTCCAGGGTATGCATAACAGCCTGCGCCAACACCACATCTCAAAGATATCTACAGTCATCCTATCTGCCTTCGTCACAATTAGGGAATTCGATCCCGGTCCTTATTTCTAATCCCGGGATTTCGGGATTATACTTAGTCAATGTCGGGATTCCGGGATTATTTCGGTATTGAGGGTTAATAAAAATTAAGAAAATCTTACAGAAATCAACAAATCAAAATTTAGACAAAAATCGACGTATTTTACGGTATACACCTAGCTAATTTAATCACTCTAGTCAGACTTAGACTAATCAGACTTAGAGTCAGACTAACAAGACTTAAAATCAATCAGTCTTCATGTTAAGTTTATTCTTTTTTAAGCATCACTGAGATCTCTTTAAACTCACATAAATTGAAAAAACACCTTTATGTAACAAACTATGCAAATAAACGTTGAAAATTAACAAAAATCTCTCTTAACATCGACTAAATAGACTACTTTCATATAACAACCTAGTAAGTAGGTAGTAAAGTAAGTTTCTTAGCAAAAAGTATTAATCAGTCACATTTTTCTTAAATATAAAAAAACTAATCTAATAGGAACATTCTAATTTGAATTGAGAAAATATGATCTGAGAAATAACAACACATACAGTGTCTTATCACCAAGTCTGCTTCTCAATTTGTTGCACATATATGCAACTGCTGAGGAAACGCGTTTAGGTTTGATGGAAGTTGGAGGAATCGTTAGTAAATACTTATAAGCCCGTTCTAGTTATAGCTTCGAAGACACGGGGAGGTTGGAAGAAAACAGTCCGGTCGACACAGATCGGGATTATAGGAGTAAAGGCTACAATCCCGATTGTTTCGATCATTGTAAGCATGTCTTTCTAAAAATAAACATGTTAATTTTGTAAATTCGGTCTCTGTGTGAGTCTCTCAGCGTCCAGCAAACCACTATTCAAAAATACAAAAATGAAGTATATTACCAAGTAACCCAGTGAGAACTGCTTGCCTATCATTTTATTGATAGTTCAAAATACAAGAAGTTTTATTCCAAGCAAGCATCGCAAGCCCGCTAGCTTAATTTCTGCTGCTTGCTTGGAATAAAATTTCTTGTATTTTATATTAAAATGATAGGCAAGCAATTCTGTTAAAAGCACTGGCACTGAACGTTTCGCTTCATGCAGTCTATTTTGCAACTTTTTTTAAAATGATGTCAATCCCGAAATCTCGAGATTAGGAAAACTTAATCCCGAAAATTTTGGGATTGAAAAGTGGCCGGGATCTCGAAAATCGGGATCCCGAGATCAAATCCTCTAGTCACAATCCAACTCTCATATCCATAAATGCCTATTAGGAAAGAATAGTTTGGACTATTCTGCATTTGGTTTTGATGCTGATGTTCCTGATCTTTCAGTCGCTGAATAATGATGAGTATTGTTCAGTCCTAATACTCATCATTGTTCTTCTCTCTAAAGATATTCTCCTCTTGATTTCTGGACTCATTTCCCTATCACTGTTTATTTTCAAGCCCAGAAAAAAAAAATAACATCCTGAACACATTCTATGGCCTCATTGTTGATTTTTAATTGAACTTGGCTATTACTGGATGTGGTTGTGACTTTGGTGCTTTTCACATTTAAACATAGGCCCAACATAGGCATTCAATTATAAAAATATTTTTCTCAAAAAAAAAAAAAAAATTAATTAATTAATTTAAAATAGACAATAGGAAATTTTACGTTAAAAAAAAAAAACAGAATTTGTTGCACATAGACGAATATTTAAGACAAATAAAACAGTATAGAGACCTGTCAGATGCTTCTTTTATTTATTTAGATGATATGTTGTTAAATGAACACCATGGCAAAAGTGGAGTAATGGTAATTTATTCGTAGCTGCCAAATTCTTAATGGTAAAGATCATTTATTAATTTTCCTTCATGTTGGAAGCATAAGTGGTTTTGTATTAAATGCCAAACTCTAATAATTATCATGATGAAATGCACAATGTTTATTTTTATGTGTTTTGAAGAATGGCTTTTGCCAAATATTCCAGAAAAATGTATGATAATTATGGATAATGCATCTTATTATTAAAAAGAATTAGAAAATGCTTCATCATCATCATCAACACAAAAAAATGAAACCATTATCTGGTTAAAGAAGGACTCACTCTCTTCCAATATGCTCGAGGAAGATTTATATGACAATGAAACTACATAAATCAAAACAAAGTTTATGAATTTAATGAATTAGCAAAGTCTTGAAGAAATGTTTTACATTTATCTCTATCATTGTGATTTAAACTCAAATGAATTAATTTGGGCACAAGTGAGAGAATCAGTTAAAGTAAAATATGCATTGTTTAAACCTACTGATATAGAAGAACTGACATCATCTGCCATTAAAAGCATTACAGCATGCAATTGGAAAAATACAGTTAAGCATATTTTGAATATTGAACAGTTACAATGGGAATTGGCCCACTTAATGTCAAGCCATTTATCATTGTTAGAAAGTTGTGTATCTGACCTTTGTCTTTGTGATCGTCGCGCCCTCCCCTCTGCTATGTGTGGGGTCTGTTATGTTCGTCAAGGGAATTGTACTCTGGCCCAGGTTAGTTTAGTTTGGAATGTGTGCTGTGGTCTAACGGACATCGCTTTCTAGTTCTCTCCACTTTCTTTGTGTTACCTTCGACATTACCCTCCATTATATCCAAACCCTGACAATCATCAATATTTCAGGAGATTCAGACACCAGTAGTAGTGAGAATGATCTGGGAAGAACAAAAATTCCTGGAATGCTCTAACGTATTGTGCATAATTTTAAAAAGTCCTTTTAAGGTCTATTATAACAGTACTTTTCAGAACAAACATTTTGATAAAGGGTAGCCAATTCAATAAAAAAAAAATCAATCATATATTATGAATGAAAATAAAAATATTTTTCTCAAAAAAAAAAAAAAAAATTAATTAATTAATTTAAAATAGACAATAGGAAATTTTACGTTAAAAAAAAAAAACAGAATTTGTTGCACATAGACGAATATTTAAGACAAATAAAACAGTATAGAGACCTGTCAGATGCTTCTTTTATTTATTTAGATGATATGTTGTTAAATGAACACCATGGCAAAAGTGGAGTAATGGTAATTTATTCGTAGCTGCCAAATTCTTAATGGTAAAGATCATTTATTAATTTTCCTTCATGTTGGAAGCATAAGTGGTTTTGTATTAAATGCCAAACTCTAATAATTATCATGATGAAATGCACAATGTTTATTTTTATGTGTTTTGAAGAATGGCTTTTGCCAAATATTCCAGAAAAATGTATGATAATTATGGATAATGCATCTTATTATTAAAAAGAATTAGAAAATGCTTCATCATCATCATCAACACAAAAAAATGAAACCATTATCTGGTTAAAGAAGGACTCACTCTCTTCCAATATGCTCGAGGAAGATTTATATGACAATGAAACTACATAAATCAAAACAAAGTTTATGAATTTAATGAATTAGCAAAGTCTTGAAGAAATGTTTTACATTTATCTCTATCATTGTGATTTAAACTCAAATGAATTAATTTGGGCACAAGTGAGAGAATCAGTTAAAGTAAAATATGCATTGTTTAAACCTACTGATATAGAAGAACTGACATCATCTGCCATTAAAAGCATTACAGCATGCAATTGGAAAAATACAGTTAAGCATATTTTGAATATTGAACAGTTACAATGGGAATTGGCCCACTTAATGTCAAGCCATTTATCATTGTTAGAAAGTTGTGTATCTGACCTTTGTCTTTGTGATCGTCGCGCCCTCCCCTCTGCTATGTGTGGGGTCTGTTATGTTCGTCAAGGGAATTGTACTCTGGCCCAGGTTAGTTTAGTTTGGAATGTGTGCTGTGGTCTAACGGACATCGCTTTCTAGTTCTCTCCACTTTCTTTGTGTTACCTTCGACATTACCCTCCATTATATCCAAACCCTGACAATCATCAATATTTCAGGAGATTCAGACACCAGTAGTAGTGAGAATGATCTGGGAAGAACAAAAATTCCTGGAATGCTCTAACGTATTGTGCATAATTTTAAAAAGTCCTTTTAAGGTCTATTATAACAGTACTTTTCAGAACAAACATTTTGATAAAGGGTAGCCAATTTGATAAAAATAATCATAAATTATGAATGAAAGTAAAAAAAAAATTTTTTTTGCTGACAATTAATTCTCATTTACTATATTTGATAAAATGAACGAAAACATCTGATTGTCAATAAAAATATAATATAATAAAGGCAAAAATATTAAAATATTAGCCACACAACTTTTTGAGGCCTACCATATTTACTCGCTTATAAGATGATCTCGCACATAGGACGAGGTGTGACTTTAAAGATCAAAATAAAGAAAATTAGATTTATTAATACAATTTAATTTTATTTCGTTTAATCACAAATAAAATGTCAAATGCACATAAATGCACACATTGTCCTGCAAAAATTACTGGCATTTTAAACCTTAAGGAAAAATATTGTAAAATCGACAACAATTTGTTTGTGTACAGTTGGACAATTGGGAACCTTTTTTGCCAATTCTTAACAGTCGCATCCACTCTCCTTCAATTACACTTATGAGTTTCTCCAAATTCTAATTTCCGAATAATCATCTGTTTTTCACGTGGGAATGGATTAAAATGTATATTGAGCTCCTGTGTGATTTTGGAATATTTCAAATAGGAATTCAATTCAAAAGCTTTGCTTTTCCTATTGCTATTCATCTTTACTCCTGACAATACACAAGAATGATTGAAATGACCCAGATAAAATACTTTTGTTTTTAAACACAAGAGAGTAAGCATCCGGTAAAAAATGAACACATGGTTCACAAAAATTATTGAAAAAACGCAAAGAATCCTTCGCTCGCGCATACAGGACAACCTAGGTTTTTGACGCAATGAAAAAAAATGAATAAAAACCTTGTCTTATATGCAAGTAAATACAGTAAATAGTGTAAAATTAATGACAAAAATTTTTAAATTGCATTAAAAAATCTTTAGAATTATAAATTTCAGCAAACAAATAAACATACTTTATTATCATTTTTATTTTAAAAAGTACTGAATTTTCAAGCTACTAACAAGACAGAAGCAAAATAATTATCACATCACTTGTTTCCATTCACTAAAGTGATCGACTGATCACACAAAATGACCTTAAATTTTTATTCCCTTATTGAAAGTACTAATATCAATATTAATTTAATTTTTGAATTGAATAATTTAATATGATAAAAATAAAAAAAAATAAGATTAATTATTTGAATTTTATTATTATTTTTAAATTTACTTACCCAAGTTGTATTTCTTGGAGTTAAATCTACTTTAAGTGGACCAATTTCCATAAAATTTCCATATCCAGTTGATGATGCTCCAGGTCCTCCCTTCAAAATATTTCAAACTTTCATTAAATAAACAAAATAGAATCTTATTAAACATTTTCCTGAAGAGAAATGTCAATTAATAAGATAATTATAAAAATATTTATATCATTTTTATTCATCATCAATAAGAAATTTAAATTTAGGATAAACATTAATTAAAATTAAAAATAATAAAGCAAATCACAATTATTTCTCTTTGTATATTTGGAAAATTAATGATTTTTCAAGAATTTGATTATTGTAAGAATTTAATGCTATAGAACTATATCAAGTAACAATTTTCAAATAATTGATTTTCACAAAAAGAAAAAAACAAGCATGAGTTTAACTAATGTTAAAATTCAAAATTTAAAACTTGAATTATAAATGTTAAAAGATTATCTACATTTCTTTTTCTTGATTTTTTTCTATTTATAAACTCATTAAAACCCTTTAAAGATACTCTAAACAGCATTTGGTTTTTAAATAAACAAGCATCATTTTTCAATATTAATTAAAATCTCAATAACAATCATCAATATAGTCAATAAAAAAAAACCCTCACATTTAACGCTTTATCAAATGTTGAGATTATCACAATCTTTAATAAATTTTAAATTTTCTAAATATATCTGTTTTAAACAATGTTAAAAGAGTTATTTTCTGTGATAAATAAAATACATTTGCGTGAGGCCCCTTTATTTATCACAGAAAATAACTATTTTCAATTTAATGGCAAAATATACAAACAAACCCAGGATGCACAATGGACTCCCCCTTGTCACCCATTTTAGCAAAACTCATCATGAGGAATATAGAGTATCGTATTTTCCATGCACCTTTAACAATCCACTATCCTATATGTATCTACATTACGTTGACGATATTTTGCTTGCATGGGACAGCTCTGCAGAGGATTTAGACAAATTTATTCAAATGCTAGCTTCAATATATCCTTCTATCAATTTCACTGTAGAAGAGTAGCAAGATAACAAAATTTCCTTTTTAGATTTATAAGTAAATAGATCTTCAGAGCTAACTTTTGCAGTGCACCACAAAAACAACAAAGGATCAGATATTATCCGTGTAACTGCTTTCCAGCCCTCAAGCTTTGTAAACTCTGCTATTACTTCACTTATTCGGAGAGATCTCCTCATTCCATCCACCCAGGTATTAATTGATAAAGAATTACAAATTATCAACAGAGCAGTGCATAATGCCGGATATTCTAATTCCAAATATCAATATCTCTATAACCGGATCATAAACAAATTGTTTCCAAAATCTTTCCTCTGCAACAAAGAAAGCCTAAAGATAATAAATCCTCTAATACCGTACTTGGGCACCATCTCACTAAAAATAACATGCATATTCAGAAAGCATGGCTTTATATTACCTATAACCCCTCAACCATCACTACAAAGAACATTGTGCAACAATAGAGACACTCTCATGTTGAATGAAAAATCGAGGGTTTATAAAATTCCATTAAAGCATACAATATCAGGGGAGGAAATTATCTATATTGGAGCTACCACCAGAATGATACAGTCCCGCATCTTCGAACATCAAGAGGACATTAGAAATAACAGACCAGCTACAGAATTAATGAAAAAGGTTCTAGACCAAGATTATCTTACACTTTGGAACCACATTAAATTATTTAAGCATTGCAATCATAGGCAAATATTCATATGGGAGAACCTTTACATATCTACTGCTTTACCGTGTAATGCGCCGACATTGGAAATATCACAGCTATGGATAACTTTATTTAAACAATCCAAGTTATAATTTTGTGGTCTGATTTTATTCTACTACCATGGATGGCACCATTATTCATTATTTATATGTTTTGGGGAGTTCAAGTTATTAAAGCACGTTTCTTTAAAAATATTTATTTATTCAATTTTTATTGTTTTGTTCTATATTCCAACCACGTGCATTACGTAATTTGAAAAGTCCTTTAAAAGCTGTCAATTCGAAAACAAAGGTATTTGATTTTGCCTGAAGACAAGGGTTGTAAACTGTTGAAAGTACTAGCGAGTATATCTGAAATTTAACAAATTGTTGTCAATAACACGGCAACATGAAAGTGTCCTATTTTTAATTTCTAAATGCTGGCGTGAAGTGAACTATATTTTCATTAATAAAAATTAATTTTTTTTAATAATTACCTAANAAAAAAAAAAAAGTTAAAAAAGTATAAAAAGAAAGAAAATAATTTGCAGAGAAAAAAACTTTTATTTACATTACGAACAAGCTTCCCAAATGCATTTCGCCAAAGGCCTCTTCAGTGGGGCTTACAGAACAGTTTACTTTCTGACAGTCAACTCATTAAAGAGCCACTTATATGGTTAACAAAAAATTCCCAGCATTCCGCTGTTAACATTCCGGTATTTAAATTTACATTATTGTTCTGCGTAATTATAGCAAAGTGTTCTTTTACCTTTCGCTTTACATTGTTTTTTTTCTTTAAAAATTATTTTTAATTTATTAATATTAATCTGACAATTATTACTATTACATCCTTAAATAACAGGTTATCAAATATGATGATTATAAGAAGTACCAAAAAAAGATTTATTAGAAGAAGAAGGTGTTGTTTATCGGATAGAATGCACATGTAACAACCCTAGTTTTTATGTTGGTGAAACAAAACGAAGATTAAAGATTAGACTGTCAGAACATCTGGCTGCAGTAAGGTTAAAAATTAGTAATTCTCCTGTCTTCCAACATTGTAATAGTAATAATTGTCAGATTAATATTAATAAATTAAAAATAATTTTTAAAGAAAAAAAACAATGTAAAGCGAAAGGTAAAAGAACACTTTGCTATAATTACGCAGAACAATAATGTAAATTTAAATATCGGAATGTTAACAGCGGAATGCTGGGAATTTTTTGTTAACCATATAAGTGGCTCTTTAATGAGTTGACTGTCAGAAAGTAAACTGTTCTGTAAGCCCCACTGAAGAGGCCTTTGGCGAAATGCATTTGGGAAGCTTGTTCGTAATGTAAATAAAAGTTTTTTTCTCTGCAAATTATTTTCTTTCTTTTTATACTTTTTTAACTTTAGTCATTATTGGCTTGATGTTTTAAAAATTGAAGTTATATATTATCCAAAAAGTCAGAAGAGAAAGAAAAATACAATTTTTTCGTATTTTACATTTATAAATAAGATGTACTTGAACCTATAACCAATGTGAATCGAATAATCTTTCCACGACGAACGTTTTCATAACCCCTTCTGGGCTCTTCTTCAGGTGAAACTGTTGGATCGAACACCAAAAACGAAATTTGAAAAATACGAATTCTGTCGAGTTTGAATCGTTCGGATCGCTGGTTTCATCACGTGATATGTTTGAACGTGAACGAAGTTAACGATGAACGTCGAAATTCAAGAGAAAGATGATATTATGATACTTAAAAATGTGTGATTGAGATACACACTTATTCAATACTGTTCTTACATATTCCCCTGTACCTTCTGTTTTTATTTTTTATCTTATTTTAATATTAATAAACAGTATTTCACTGTTACTCTTTATGTAGTAGGTTTTGCCATGCCATGGAAAGGCCGATTTCGTCTCTTGAATTAATACAAGTGGATGTATCGTATGCTCTAAAAATTTCCATCTCCTCCAACCATTTTAGATGGTGCATGTGTGGTGTGGACATTTACATTTATGTAAGAAAGAAACAAAAGAAAAGTTTTAATAACATTAAAAAAACTTAATCTTCAAAAATCAGCATGTTTATTCTATTTAACATTTTTTAGAGAATTAACTTCAATCTTTAGAGTATTTAACAATTTTCCAAAAGTTTACTCCAAAATTTTCTTAAAATTAACTAACAAATTCAATTATAACAATATTCAAGTATCTTCAAACAATTTCAAAAAAACTATTAATTAATAAATTATCTTTGAACTTGGAAAACAAAATGAAATTTTACTTTAGAGATTACAGTCAAATGTTATTGATATTTAGCAAATGTCTGTATATCCAGATACTTTTTATATACAATTCTTGAAAACATGACACAAACTGAAAAACAAAAATCAATATATAATTCCCTATTAGAAACTATTGAATTATCAAATATAAGTGTATCCATCTTCAATTGTAAAGTAATTACAATTTTTAATAATAATATTTTAAGAAATTATACATTCATTCTCTTATTTTTTCAATTAGTTTTACAACAAACTAATTGTTTCTATCTTACAACCTAAACCTGATAAAATTAATTCTGAAGATTGACATAACTAAGCAAATTTGTGATTGAGCTATTTTCCTTCTTCAAATATTGATTTAAAATCATTGAACAGTTCTTTAATTTTAATTTTTCTGGATAATTCAAAAGGTTAGATAAGCTAAGGAAATGATACAAAATGTTATATGAAAGACAAAATGTATAACATGCAAAATCATCACGTGTTCCATATTTTTCAGGTGAAAATAAAGATATTTTGTTTTGACTTTTGACTAAGATTTCCTCTCTTTGCTAATCAGAAACTTAACCAATTTAATAAGTCCTATTAATAAACAAAGTCCAATTAGACAATATATACTGAGAATTGTAAAAAGGACAAAGAGGTAAAAAAGAATTAATTAGAGCTTTCATTTACTCTCATTTTTACACATCAAATTTAATATTTCCATAACTTTGACTTGCAACATTTTCACTGGTAAGTCAGTTTGTGACTCACTGAAATTTGATTTTGCAACTACCAGTATCATTTAGTAATTTTATATGTAGTCCAGCAGGGTAAAAAAATGCCATTCAAATGTTTTCAGCTTACACTGAAGGCCTTCTTCAGGAACAAACAAGTTCCAAAATGGAACACTAACACATAATAGAACATGAAGTTTAAAAACTTGAAATGACAGAACTCTAGGATCGAATGCTATTATGCTGTCAAAATTAGCAAACTTCATTGGATACATACTGGATCACAATAGGCTTGCCATGCTCTGGAAATGGATTTCTCATGCTTGTAATTGAGACAATTACCCTTCAATGTA